CCTAAGTTAATACCTCCTAGGTGGATTAGAATCATTCAAATCCACCTTGATTACTGCTAAGTGGAAATTTTATACTCAGCCTTTCTAAATCCTTACAACAATGTGATGAGGATATTACAGTTGCTTTAACCCAAGGAGATGAAATTCAAACTGGTGGCATTTCACACTTACAGTGGGCTTGCAGGATGAAAGAGAGCTTGGTATCTCGATCCCTTATATAAAACAGGTGGGTCTTGTTAGAAAAATCCTTCAATCATTTTTAAGGTTAAAATTTTGAAAAGAGGTACAAAGAAATTTGCTTTGATGCAAATATTGTCTAGTCAGTTATGTAACTTGAGAGATAATGACAGTGTACACTAGCTATCCAGGGCACAATATCTCTGTTGTGCAGTTGAATATACTGCTCAACCATTCTGGAAAACGGCATGCTCGTGTGTGAATGACAATGTATCTTGTGTGTATGGCACTCGAAGCCAACATGTTGGTCACTGCAAGTAAACTTCTTGACCGTCAAGAGGCTGCCTGTTTAATATTTGCATGATCTAAACGAATTGTTTCTTTTGTTTTTTCCTCTACTTTATGAACTGGTAGTTTGACCTTTTGGCTTTTTCCCTGAGAGTTAACAAAAGTTAGACAGTCGAGGGGTGAACTTAAGTAAAATCCATATCACTCTATGTTACTGGTCTACTAACAATTCAAGACAATGTCTTGGTAGGAAGCAAGGAATGAGTTTTAAATTTGATCTTTGAATTTCAATTGTCCATGCCACTCCTGTGGTCCACCATTCTATATAATTAAGAATAAGCTGTATGTTCCATAGTGACACAACCTGTTGTTTCTGATTTGCAGATTTCACTTAACCTGCGGTAAAACTGAAATAGAAGTCAGGTCATTTTTTTTTTTTTTTTACCTTCTTCCACTCAATTCTAGTTAAATATTTTTGAACTTCTATAAAATGTCTGTGCAATATTATCACCAATAATGTGTAAAATTACTACTCCCATGTAGAAGAGTATCCATTCTTTATTCAACCATACCCTTGGGATCCTATCACATGCAGTTGATCATATACTATGTATAATTTTCTAATTTTTTTTTGTTTGTACACTTTGTAGGGACTTTGGAATTTGGAAAATATAGTACATTTTGGGTATATGTATTAGTCCATTTTCATACTGCTATAAAGAAATACCTGAGACTGGGTAATTTATAAAGAAAAACAGGCATAATGAACTCACAGTTCCACATGGCTGGGGAGGCCTCACAATCATGGCAGAAGGTGAAGGGGAAGCAAAGGCACGTCTTATATGGCAGCAGGCAAGAGAGCATGTGCAAGGGAACTGCCCTTTATGAAACCATCAGATCTCGTGAGACTTATTCACTATCATGAGAACAGCACAGGAAAAACGTGCCCCCATGATTCAATTACCTCCCACTGAGCCCCTCCCACAACATGTGGGGACTATGGGAACTACAATTCCAGATGAGATTTGGATGGGGACACAGCCAAAGCATATCAGTATATTAAAGAAAGTATTTGTTAGTGCTAAGTGAATCTACTTTCACCTACTTGATTATTTGATGATTTTATAAATAGTCATCTCTTTCCTCATCTTTCCAATTGCATTTTGTTGTTCTAAAGCCCAAACCTGTGTGTCTTGTGTTCAACAACCTGAATCATACAGTTGTGAGATGTAAATGGTGTGGTGGTTCCACTTACTTCTTCACATAGTACTACAACTAAGCCATCTAAGTAGTTTGCTCCTAAATTCCTCCAAGAAGGGAAATATCATGATTTGATTTAAATGTGACATCCTTTCTTAGAGACGTTTTCTTTGTCTCCTTCTTCCCCAGTCACTTCCTCTCATCCACTGTGCTTTCGGCAGTTCATTCGTTCATTAACTCATTCAAGGAATATTGAATAACTTTTGATCAATGTCTTCCTCCCTCCAAGCTGAAAACTTGATGGAGGGTAACATGATCTGTCTTTGTTTACTACTGCATCTTCTGTGAATATACATTGTAAGTATTGAACGGATTTTTACTAAATGAAGAAATACTTTGATGAAATATTTTTGATAACTGCCAATATCAGTTTCTGAATTGATTCTAAAATTCTTCTGCTGGAAAGTGGATTAGCTTTAGTATGACTGCTGAAGCCTTTTAAAGTGGGTGATAACACTACATTTTGTTTGCTTTATTAACCTAAGTGCTTTTCTTTGGAATCTTTTTAAAGGAAGATAAATTACACTTATGAAAGAAGCATATTATTTTTAAAGTACTTTATTTTTAAAAGGTAAAATGCTTGTGTAGTTATAATTTGGTAACTCTTGATTTCACCTTAGGAAAAACAATATCACCTTCTAACCATTTCTTTTTTAGTCAAATCACTTGCTTTTATTTCTTTCTGTAGATCTGCTATTAAAAGATTGTAATCACTGCTGCATCTTTCCTGTAAGACTTGATCACATTATTAATTTCTTTGTAAACTTGTAGAATAGGAGTATAAATAGTACTTGGGTAATACACTGACTAATACTGAAGAACCAGGCATTTTCTTACCCCAGCCCTCACACCAAGTAGGGAAATACAAGTTAAAACTCATCTCAAAACTCTGACCTCAGAATTTCCTGAGAAATCTGAACCGAGAAAGATTCTTTGCTTTTGACATTTTTTCCCTGGTTTCCACCGCAAGTCTCTTGCTCTTACATTTTTTTTTCTAGTGTTTCAAATAGAGGATGGTAGAGTCGTATAGAACAATCTCAGCATTGGAGAGGCTACTGGAGGTCAACTAGTGCAAATGCTTTCTGGATAATGGAATCCTTTGGGAACATCCCTTGAAAGTCTTCATCTAGCCTATTCTTGGAAACCCCCAGTGATCCCCCTGATCATTTCCTATGATGGGAGCTTCTATCTTTGTCATCAGCTCTGACTATTTCAAACTGCTTCCTTACATTGAGCTGTAACTAACTAAAAAGTTTCCACACCCTGCTTCTGTTTTAGCCTTTGGGCTCATAAAGAACAAGTTGAACCCATCTTCTGCAGAACAACTCATGTACAGGAGATGCTCAGGTTTCCTCCATGTTTTCCTTTCTCTAGGCTAACCCTTCTTTGTTCCTCATTTGCTCACTATATGACCTGATTTCATGTCTCCTTACCCTTCTAGTTACTCTAACTTGAGCAGGCTTATTTTTCTTATAGTTTCAGGATCCAGCAATGAGTGTGATACATCAGGTATGCTCTGATGAGTTGAGAGTAGAGTGGACATATCATCTCCCTTAGTTCAGATATTGTGATCTCATTGGCAAATCTGGCAATAAAAGTTGAAATGCCTGACCAAGGACAATGGCTGGTCAGGTGCCATTGTTCTCATCTTTTACTTTTAGGTGTCCCTCAGTTTGTTAAGTTAGTACCTACATAGTGTCCTGAAACTTGTTCAATTTGTACCTACATAATACATTAAATTCAAAATCTCTGCTTAACTGAAAACAAAAGCAAACTTCTTTTCAGAGCCAGAATCTGGAATCATACTTAATACAGAATGATCTTGTACAAGTTGGATCATCTCTTTAAGTAACGGTTTCTCAAACTTACAAGATTATTGTGAGAACTAAATTAGTTCTAAAGTGTTTCCATGTAAAGTGTATGTAAATGCTTAAAATATGTAGTAAGTTCTGAATGCATATTACTAATAATAATCTTTATTATAATGTTTACTATTTCATGAGAAATGCTTACTTTAATACTGAGCAAATAGGAAGAGTTCATGGCTTCTCTATGTTTTTGAAGTGTCATTTAATATATTATATATATATATTTATATGTATAAAACATATATATATATTTCAGTTACACATTTGTCCAAATACGTTTACAAATTAAAACAAAACAAGATAAAGTTCTCACACTAGTTTTTTGTTATAAAGTGATAGAACAAGTGATATGTTATAAAGAGCATTTATTTCTCATGTCTTTGGTATTAAAAATAGTTGTATTAACTTTGTATCAAAATGATTGCTTCCTTCATTTAAATCTAAGAATTATTGCTGTCTGATAAATGTTGGAGAGATTAACTTTTTTGAAAATATAGAAGCTCTTTGTCTTTTTAAAATAGTTGTTTTTGGCAGATGTTAATACATTTCGGCAGCACAGTATGGCCTTTTTCAGGTTAAGGTGCTGAGCCCAAACCTCAAAGAATCACTGCAAAAAGATTGGATCCCCCCTCTTCACCCCATTTCATAATTTAGTTAGTGAGAACCACAGCTGGGTAAACCTTTGGGGGGAAATTATCAAATAAAACAAACTCTTTTTAGACGTTTACAACTTTTATGTTAGGAAAAAACAAACACATTTGTGAAAAGCTTAAAATCCAGTAAACGACTTGAAGGACTTGTGGTAATCCTAGGGTGATGAGGAGCAGGTTAGTAGCAGTGAAGGACTTAGCACCCCAGGGGACCAGAGGCTGTAATATACCTTACGAGCAAGTCATTCTTATTTAGTCTTTCCCATTAAGAAGTCTACTTGGACTAAATGCGTTTAAAAATGCCCTTTTAATTTACTATTAAAAGAATATTCCTAGCAGAAGTGGTCTTTGATGCTAAATCATATTTTAGGAATAACTAAAATTAGAATTTTGTTCTTTTTATAACACTCGTTACCTACACACATCCCTACCTGGTGTGTCAGAGTCAGTTTGTACGGGCTCACCAAAGCCTACTGTTCAATTTTCAGGAGTTTTGTAAGCCATTTGACGTCAGACAAGTGGCCTGAAGTTTGTTATGGTGGCAGTATTTACACCATGAAAATTGGCAACTGCTACAAATAGAAGTCTTTTTCTTCTTCTCTTGGAGAGCCACTTGTTAAACACTTACCAGCTCACCTGTGCTTGAAAGTATTTCTTCAAATAAAATGAAAGACGGTTAGCTTTGAAAATTTTTTGTATAAAAGTTTACATGGGAAAAAAATTAACTAATTGTTTTTTCTTCCCCCTGTGTTTTCAGGGATACGAAAAGACCGAAGAGGAGGGAGAATGTTGAAACACAAGCGCCAGAGAGATGATGGGGAGGGCAGGGGTGAAGTGGGGTCCGCTGGAGACATGAGAGCTGCCAACCTTTGGCCAAGCCCGCTCATGATCAAGCACTCTAAGAAGAACAGCCCGGCCTTGTCCCTGACGGCCGACCAGATGGTCAGTGCCTTGCTGGATGCTGAGCCCCCTATACTCTATTCCGAGTATGATCCTACCAGACCCTTCAGTGAAGCTTCGATGATGGGCTTACTGACCAACCTGGCAGACAGGGAGCTGGTTCACATGATCAACTGGGCAAAGAGGGTGCCAGGTAAGAATGCGAAGCTCAACTTTTAAGAGTCAATAGCTTTTCAAGAACTGGTTGTGATGTCATGGGAGAAATAGTGGGGAAAAAAGAAGCAATAACATGTTATGTAATAGGTTTCAAGGTTATAGGAGATGTGTTCATTTTCAGTATCAATACACTGTAATTTTCCTGGAGATTAGGAAATATTATTTTAAAATAAAAATCCAGAAGACTAAAATTTTTAAATTGACATAATTTATTTTTAATCCATCTTATTTACCCAAAAGATTTAGGGTGGACACTACATGATAAAACTATTTAATAGTATATGTTCACATTACCAGAAACTTGTAACACTAAATGATCTACAAAAGTTCTTAATATTAATGACCTTTGTTCAAAACATCTCAATTATTAATAAAACAATGTTATCTTAAAAAGATTTTTAAGATTGGGTGTGGTGGCTCATGCCTGTAATCCTAGCACTTTTTGGGGCTGAGGTGGGAGGATTGCTTGAGCCCAGGAACTTGAGGCCAGCCAGGGCAATGTGGCTAAACCCTGTCTCTACAAAAAATTTTAAAAAATTACCTGGGTGCAGTGGCACACACCTGTGGTCCCAGCTACTGGGGAGGCTGAGGTGAGAGGATGGCTTGAGTCCAGGAGGTTGGAGCTACAGTGAACCGTGTTTGTGTGGAGTGCCACTGCACTCCAGCCTGGGTGACAGAGCAAGACTGTCTCAAAAAATAAACAACAAAAAAAAAGTTAAGAAAGATCTTTATGGATTAAAGAGATAATAATAAGTTTACTTACTGAATGCCAATTATTTATCCAACCTGGTGTATGCTTAGTATTTTAGGAGAAAGAGAAAGGCAATGGAAAAATAAATTAAGGTATCATCCCTGAAAGAAACTTTTAGAAAGACACAGTGGCTGAAGTGATACCTTGTTCCTTCAGCTGATTCTCTCAGAACTGGTGTTATAGTAAAATTGGACTGTTACTCCTGTTGTTCAGGGAGAAGAACTCGAGTCTGTATGGAAACAAGACTAGAAAATGGCTTTCTCCCTGCCCCAGTGTATCCATGCAGGAGCTAATGTAGATGAACCAAGGCAAGAGGAAGTTAAATTTTTTTCTGGGCTTATAGACTCAATGAGTGATAGATTTAGTTGGAGTTTTTCTCATTTGGTTTCTTTTAATAGATGAAATTAATTGTTTCCTACGAAGCATGAAATGTTTAATATGAAACTAAAAAATGTGGAGTTTGTACTTGCATTTCAAGGGTCACTGCTGTGTTACAGGCCAAGTGAACTTATGTCTGGCCTTAGAGAATCTTACATGTACTTGCATCTATCAGCATATAAACATGTGGGCTGTAGAATAAGAAGCCAGCAGTACCAGAACCCAGCCCTGTTAGAGGCCACCATTTTGGTGGTTTGGGTGGTTATTAGGTTACATGGAAGCATGGAGAATAATAGGCAAATGTAGGTTTTCAATGTCAGTCGAACTGGCAAACAAAAATTCCTGATCATCTTCAGAATGAAAAGTTTTCTTGAGTACCTCCATATTTTGGCATTTTTATATGAAGCAGATACATTATAAGTTAATTGTTGGAATATAAATGTAATGTGGCTGTAAGTTTTTTCTTTATATTTGTTATTGCCTTGTTCTTATATTTTAGGGAAAGAGAAACAAACAAAGAAACTAATGGTCATATATTTGAGAGCCAACTCTTGGTTGCTATTCAGTTTTATTTTCCTGTAAACATATATTTTCCCTCATGAAATCTTGGTAATGTTAGCTCTGGAGTACTGCTGAACTGAAGTATAGACATTTTCTTACATATCAGTAGATTCTCGTCATGGCATTTTTATAATAATAAACTATCGAAGAGCATTAGTAACAACTGGAATTAAGCTCAAATACATTACCAGCGGCTGAAGAATTCACATCAATAATCTTCTGAATTTAGGAGTAAAATGGAGAAGTCAAGGAAAGGAAAATATTATACACAGGCTAGCAATTGTTCAAATATAATTATTAAAGCCAGAGTTAGACAAACTTATGGCAATAAGATATGTAATAAAACCACTCTATAACTTCATCATGTTAGTTTAAAAGACCTGCATGATTCCAAAATCCTTAGACCAATAAACTATGTCTTCTTACTGGATAATTAAAAAAAATTATAAAGGCAAAATGAAATTATATATGTGTGTGTTTGTGTGTGCTCCATGGGAATACAGCTGTTGTAAATCAAAGGCCTACTTGTCTGACCAAGCAGAATAAAAATAGCCATTGATTTTAAAGAGACGAAAAATGAGGGAAGAAAAAAGTCTTCTGCAAAAGTTCTACAGATGGTTGTCAAGCTTTTCAGAAAAATACACAAAGCAACATTTTGAAAAGGATTTATATCTTTTATATATTCAAATACCATCTGTTATTTAAAAAATATAGCCCACACTGAAAATCTAATATAGACAATATAACGTTTATGAGATAATAGCTTGAGAATGACAATAATAATAGTAATTTTTAAAAAGAGAAAATAGGCTGCGCACAGTGGCTCACACCTGTAATCCCAGCAGGTGTGGGTGGGTGAATTACCTAAGGTTAGGAGTTCAAGACCAGCCTGGCTTTTAAAATGGCAAAACCCTGTCTCTACAAAAAAATATAAAAATTAGGTGGGCTTAGTGGCACACACCTGTAGTCCCAGGTACTTGGGATGTTGAGGTGGGAGAATTGCTTGAACCTGGGAGGCAGAGACTGCAGTGAGCCGAGATCCCACAACTGCACTCCAGCCTGGGCAACAACGAGACTCTGTCTCTAAATAAATAAATAAAGAAGGAAATAGTAAACATCATTAGTAAGAAGAATAGCAAACAGTTCAGTTCTGGAAATACCCAGAATTAGCTATATGATACAAAAACCCTCATGGATCATTTGGATAATCCTCAGAATATCTGTCAATATAACAAAAACTATGAATTGACTTCATTTTGAATGATGAATTTTTAACAAAAATAGTCCATGATTTGGGCTATCTTAATAGTTCTAGAAGTGCTTTCTTCTTCTTCTTTTTAATTAACAGAATATTATCAAAATTTTCAAATGTTGATGATTATAAATTGAATTTTCCTTTTCATTAATACCTGGGGCTTATTTTTTGACTTGATACATTTCTCTACTCAGAATTAAGATGTGCAGAGCTTTAGGATAAAATGCATCATAAAAGTGTGAGAGTCAAGTTCCAATCTGTAAAGTACTTCTAGTAGACCTGGATAAAGATGACCTTAAGAAATGATTTTTTTTTCTCTTTGCAGTTTAAAAACAACAGTAGCAATAAGAATGATAAAACCTACAAAGCCAGCTCTGATAAAAGATGCTTTTTTATAACACAATCTACTTTTTGATATTTATCTATAGAGAAGATTTTCTCCTTATTGTTTGCTGAAATTTGTTTATCTTTAATAGGAATTTTATAGCCTTATCCCTGGGTAGAAATTCAGTTTTTTAAAAAGTAGATTACTAAATCTTAATTTGCTATTATTCTACACATGGTAAAACTAGTCTATAACTGTAATATCATTGAGCTGAAGGTTAAAAAGGAAAAAATACGACTGACTAAAAGAGTGGTTGTATTTTTGATTTCAGCATCACACTCAATTGCATCATTCAGTGGTTCATTCTTAGTTTTGGTGTTAATGAAATATATCTGAGATTTTTTTCCCCAGAAGCTTGAATTGTGTCACCACAGTGTCCTTTTGATTTATTAAAAGTTAAGCCTTTTCCAAAATTCACCATAATTTTACATGTCTCAAAAGCAATGTTATACTTCAAGTTTGTGTTATAATTCTATATATTTTATGAAGATTTTGATAGATGTCTAGCCCTGAGTTTTTTATTGCCTGTTAAATACTTATAACCAAAAGTGTGACAGCCTCATGAGCTGCTGCTGGGCACAGATCTGAGAGAGTACACTGAGAGTGTTGGCCCAGGAAGAGGAAGAGAGGACAAGGGGCAGTTCAGTGGCAGCTTGGCTTTGTGTGAAACATGCCACCTTAACCACTTCCTCATTCTTTTAGTGGCAAACTAGGTGACCTTCTCCTTCCTCTTTCCTGCCGAGTCCCCCTCTACTCAACACTCTAGAAGGCCCCTCTTCCTCCTCAGTCCTGACTCCCTGTCATTGACTTCAGGTGGCCTCCTTGCTCCGTTTTGGCCCCAGGGGTAGACAATCTACTCTTTCTGGACATGCCTCCCAGCAGCCCCAAGTTCAGGTTTCTTGGCAGTTTCTATGTTGTCTGGAGGATGCATGGTTGTGTGAGTTATTCCAGGGCTCAAGGCCCGTTCTGTGTGTGTGTTCCCCAGGAATCCAGGAATTTGCTTCTCTGCCTCTCATCCTCATCCTCATCATTAAAATTAGCAGATTTGAGCTCAGGAAATGCTTGAATCAATGAATAAATGAACAAATGACAGGTGATTTTTGAAAGTCTTGAGTTTCAGAAGTCTCTGAGCCCTGTTACAGCTCAATTTTCCCATAAACTAGAGCTGCTCTCTAAGGCTGTGACATTTCTCCTTTTTCTTCTCCTCAAAATCTACCTGTTGTTCTGATATCTCCCGGACAGTCACCTTAGTGAGACTCCATTTCCATTTCCAACCTCTCTTTTGTAAGGGATAGAGAAATAGCTAGAGGAATATGGAGCCATGCACTCTGAGGACTTTAGCAGGCTTCAACTGTCTATTTACAAGTGAGTTTCACTTAGTGAATGAAATTGGAAACTTAAAGTGGGTAGGGATGAGGGTTCTGGGAGAGGATGTAACACCTCAATCTGGGAATTGGGAGCATCTTCAAAGGCACACACTCAATTCTGGGAGGTCCCTGTAGATTCCAGAGATTTAGGAGGGCTTCCCAGGACTCTGCTTCCCAACCTGTCATTGGACCAGTAGACCCTGCTGTCAGGCTGTTGTGGTGTCCAGCAGCATGCTTTGGCAAGGTAATGAAAGATAACATGACATGGACATATGGCATC